TCGTCAAAACGGGTGACTCCATTCAATCCAGTGCCGTTGCTTCTCGCTTCCGTGGTCACCCCTGACTGGACACTAACACTCGTTGGCGTATGTACCACGTTTACCGGCCTCAGTAGTTCGTGTGTACGCACTACCGAGGCTTCGTTCGCGTTATTGCCTCCGCCATGGGTTGTCGTGTACGTGTCCAAAGGTTCTGCGGAAGGCTGACCGTCGGCCGAATCCCCGGCTGTCACCCCAGACGCCAGACAGGCTTCCACTCGTTCACGTTCTTCCAGGATCAGTGCCCAGCGCTCTGCACATGTCAGACGATCACTAGAATCCACTAGCGAGTCTTCTAGAGGTCACCCCACCGGGTTCTGGGTAGTATGGTCGATCAACGGCTGAAGGCTGAGCTGCAAGCCATTGTTCGTAGATTTCACATTCACGCTGAAAGAGCTCGCGGTCTCTGCAACCTTCGTAGGCCAACACTTGCCAATCTTGGTACTCCTTAGAATTCAGACGCACATAGCCGTCACCTCGTGGCAAATCCCCATCTGGAATCCACATCGCGATCGAGTCGTGTGCTGGTAGGTACACAGTTCGATCAGACACGTTGGTCAATCGAATGCTCTGAGGCCGTCCACGTCGAAACCTCGTCGCTGACGGGATTAGCTTGTTCGTTCGACGAACCCACAGTACGTGTTCTTCCAGCCCGACTTGACGCTTCGCTAGTCGACATTCTCGCCACTCGTGCGCTTGAATGTCCAACCGCTCGGGTGGCCCGGCGTTAACATGGGAGCCGTATTCTTCGCTGTCGATCATGTTCTTGGTCTTTATCAGCGGGATTTGGACTTCGTGCGGTAATTGCGCCGCGCCGTGGAACAGGTCCAACCGGATCCCAGCTGGGATCATAAAGTCGGTACCGAGTACCACGTCGACGCCTGCACTATGCGCCATTACCCACATCTCAAACTCGTACACCATCTCCCATCCGAGCGTAATCTTGACGCACGCTCGTCGCGTCGTAGACACCTTGCCTTCGTTGATTCCTTGAATGTCAATGCGGCGTCTGTGATCAGGTACATCTCGGAGTCGCAACTTCTTGGCAAAGGTGTCAGTGATCACACTAACGTTCGCTCCTGTGTCGAGGAGGATCCTCGTTCGCTGGTCGCTCACAGCGCCTTGCACCAGAGCCCTCATTCTGATCCGTCGGTCGAATTTCTTGGCCGACCACCACCCCTGTCTCCCGCCAGGGTTCAACTTTATCATCTTGGAGTGACCCTTGGGCTCGTCTCGCGCTGCTCGAAACCAAGCCGAACGAACCCTCGCTGGTGCCCTCATCAGCATCAGCACACTCCACTCTCTCTCCAACACCTCCACCGAGGATTCTACTCCTCTCCTTTTCATTTTCCGTCGCGTTCACACTTGTTACGTAATTATCCGGCCATTCACTCTGCCCCATGAAAGCAAAGATACACTCTGCTTCCATTGAAGGCTCGGTTAACTGTGGCAGCCCGATAGGGACCAACCCAGTTGTAGTTGGCGGGCTGCCTAGTTTAAATGACGTTCTTGAACGACGGCCTTGAGCTCTGGCGGGAGTTCCTCCTTCGTGCCTTTAGTGCGCACGAATTTGGCAAGGTCTTGGAAGTTGCGGAAAAGTTCGCATTGTCCAGCATCGTGGAGCTGCTTGCAGAACTTGCATCGCTTGTTACAGTAGTGGGCGGAGTGACTCATGCCACCGCACACCGCGCATGGTCCGTACTGTGGGCGTCGGTTGTCGCGGTTGAAGTCACGTCGACCGCGTTGGTCCTGATTGAACCCACGGTCACTACTTTGGCGATCTTGATTGGGGCCGTTCTCGCGATCAGGCCCGTTTCCACGCGGTTGACGGTTGTCTGAACGTGCGTAGGTGCCTTCAGCAGCTGCACGGCGTTCATTTTCGTTAGCAGCGGCGAGGTATCGGTCGTTTTCATCCAATGAGAAATCACCATCCGTATTATCGGGCTGAAAGTCGTTGTACTCGTCTTGGACATCGTTGTAAGCGTTCGGATCTTCGTTTGAATACTCGGTGCCTCCCTGAGCAGCTTCACGACCTTCTAATTCAGCTAGTAGGTCTTCTAATTCAGCTAGTAGGTCATCCACCGTGGCGTCAATGAGCGTCACTCTTGGTTTGTTTCGGTTGTCATCGCGGCGGCGGTCATCACGCCGGTTGTTGCGGGCGAATCCATCGTCGCGTCGCGTATCACGACGCTTGGAGTATCGGTACTCACTGTCACGCTTGGCCATCGTCTCCTTGCCCTTGAGGATATCTTCGATGATCTCTTCGAGCTCGTGAATGTCGGCGACTCGAGCGTGGTAGAGACTCTCCGCCAGCTTGTCATCATCGCATGTTGCCAGGAACTGCTGTACGTGTTCTTTCGCGTCGCGACCACTCTTCTCGAAGTGTAAACGGGCGGTCCGAGCATAGCCATTCAGCCTGTTTATGTAGTCGCACAGATGTTCATTACGCTCCCGCTTGGCGGAGTAGTAACGCGACAGTGCCGTCTGCGTGAACTGCGAGCAGTAGTAGCGGATGAACGCGTCGCTCAGCAGCTTCCACTTGCGCTTCGTCTTCTTCGGAAGTTGACGGAACCAATGAATGGCTCCGTCCCGGAGACTTAGCTCAAATGGAATGCACCATTTATCGGCATCTGTGTGGGTTACAGTCATTTCATAGACGAACCCACGGAGCCACTGCATACAGTTCTCGCTCTTGTTGCGAGAGCCTGAGAACGGCGTGATGCGATCCAGCGGTCGGTGCGAGGCCATTTCAATCCTCGGTGTTGGGTCCACGTCGTTCAGCGTCGCTAGCTCATTCATCTGACGCATCAACTCGAGTTGAGGATCTTCCTCGTCGAATGTACGCACCAAAATGTCATCGTCACTGGACGAACCATCGCTGTCGACTTGACGACGTCCGGCACCACCTTTGGGAGCTCGCGCACCGCCTTGGCGACCTAACGAACCCTCGTTACTTGCGTAAATACGCTGCATACGGCTCTCCGAACGTGGCGTAACCATGTGCGAGTCTTGAAAGTACGGTGAAGCTTCGGTAGTGCCAAAGGCACCACGCTCAGCTCCACGCTTGGTCGGAGGAGTACGAACGAGTCGTTGGGGCGTCGGCGGCAATGGAATCTTGGACGGATCTTCATCTTGAATCATCGGTCGACTCACAGGTTGCTTTCCGGCATTGATGCCAACAGCGCCAAACGCCTTCCGAAGCTTCTTCTTCCATTTCTGGAGAGCAGCTCCGGCTTCATGTGGACTCCAATCCTGGAGCGACATCGTCGATGGGTACGTCTCGTTCTCGAACCCCAGCGACAACAGTAGCGAAACTGAATCCTCGGCAACTTGGCTAGTCGAAACCGAGTTGACTGGGTATTGAAGTTCCTGCGCAAGCGCAGGCCAGTCAGCTTTTTTTTTGGAGATGGGCTTGAACAGCTGCATCCACTCATCATTCTGCATCAGCGCTTGTACGCGGTCGAAAACGCGCTTGGCGGCTGGTGTATCACCGTTGATAGGTGGGCGAGGTGCCTTCAGCAGTGCTGAATGCTTTGCACTTGCCACCGAAGGTTTAGAACCCTCGGTCCCATCGTCATAATCATCGTAGGCGGGTTCCGGTCCCGCAACATCATCGAGCTCGTCGGCGAGGTTCCTCGAAAGGGACCTGGTCGCCCCGCTCAGCCCCGATGATAGCGTGGCCGTCTCCGGCGTCGCTGCGCCTGGCTCTGGAGCCGGCGTCTTGTCTTCGTAATCTTCATAATCGTGGGCGTCAGGACCGATGTCCGCTTCGTCGTCGAAGCTCACTGAAAGCTCGGTGGCGGCTGCAAAGCGCGCAGCCGGGCTTGAACTCTCGTTGCGAGCCCCGCCAGACTTGGCAGGCGTAACTGGTACCGTCGGTTGTCCTTTCGCCATACTTCTTGTCTTTTTCTTGTTCTTCTTCTCTTGGTAGCTCGTAAACTAGAAGGCCATACAATAGGTTCACAATGGTCACAATCTGTTCCCGGGTCGCGGCACCAGTTGTGGTGTTGGAAATCCCACGTGAATTTAGCTACAGATGTAGTTAGGATGTTCCCACAACAATACGTCTACTAGGATAGTAAACGATCGTTCGGGCGGACCTGAAGACCCCAGTTCTGCCCTTGCACCGGGACAAACTGGACCTTGTAAACTACTTATATAGGCCAACCAGTAAAATAAGAACACGCTACTAGCACGAGCAAAGCTAGCAGGTGTTTTGAATCCTAGTGGTCCCAACAGCGGAAGGGTACCAGGCACGGGTAAGCCTTTTACGAGATCACCGAGTGTTCAACACTCGGCTGGAAGAAATAAAAGGGAGGCAATTCAAGCACTCCCAGTCGTGCAAATAGGCAACAATAAGCCGTCACGTAAAACCTCCCGATAATAATCGGCCAATACACAAAGTCTCTTGGCCTTGCCGGATGAACCCTCGCTACAGAGCTTCGAGTTCACCGACAGGCATAACACACTCAAACAAGCTTGACCTGACGCTTACCTTGAAGCCGGACGTCGCTCTGTGTGCTTGAGTGGAAATTCTGTTCTGTATTTAAGCTTACCCTTTCGGGTCTATTCCTAATAAGAAGTCCTAATCAAGTATACAAATATCAAGTGAACAATGATCCGTTATGGATCTTCTTGCATGCCAAGCGTCGTCTGCACCGTCGCATGAGCATCTTTAACGGTCCATGCCCTGTCCCAGACGGTGAACGTGCCTTCCAAGGGTCGCTGAGTCTTCCGCGAACTCATCCCAACCGCCACTGAGGGTTCGTACCGTAGATGGTCCGCTGAATGCGAATCCGGCCAGTCCATTATTATTAATACAGACAGCCTGGATTCAGTGACATATGGTCGTATCCAATGCTCGTTGAAAGCTCGGGTGTGACGCCATCGAGTCCCTGGCACCTTGGCGTCTCCGTACATCACCTGACCGAGGGTTCGTCGCTTGAACATCTTGGGCGGTGTCACGTCTTTGTCGACGGGTGATAATCCGCAACTACGGAGAAATCACTACACCACAGAACGATCTTCTCGGCCGTCTCCAGTTTAGTCCAGAACTCATTTTCTCCTAAGACACGAAGCTTTTCTGGCATTTCATTGCTGTTTCGATACGAGAAGACCATATCTTCCAGAGCTCCTCGTGCACGAAGGAGAGAGGCAAAACATGCCTGCATGGAGTTCCACCGAGTCTCACAAAGCGTAAAAATAGCAAGACTAGCTCCGTAGCGCTTATGCATAGCTTTCATCGCACGAACTAACCACTTTGAAGTTGAAGTATTAAGAAAACTAGCCACACCTGCGGCGTCTGCTGAAATCTGCTGGAAAACTGTTTTGAGGACAGCTTTGACGAGATTGTTGATGTCATGAGCAAAACAATGGATGTAAGCAAACTTCGGATAGCGAAGAGCCAAAATACGACGAGCTCGTCCACATTGACCTGCATTATCGGTAACAACAGCACCCACATTCCAGCCCGACGCAAGCAGATCCTCGATAACCTCTTCCATTTGCTCCGCAATCGCAAGGCCGTCATGGCGATCACCAGTCGGTCGTAAACCATAGTTCATTACACAGCCAAATAGGGTAACCATGCAGCCCAGTACATGCTGCTTCGCTATCGTTTCCCACACATCTGAAAGAAAGTTTACTCTCCCACCACTTTGGACGGCTCTAACGTTTTCCCGTTGCTCAATTGAATGTTGCTCTGCACACTCGTCCAGAACACGACCACCAATGATATGACGATGTGGCACGGCGCCTGTAAGCCCGCAGCGAGCATTCAAAAAGACGAGCAGGCGTCAGAAGGAACGAAGCTGCACGAAAGAGTTTGGAAGCAGTGCTTCCGCCTGAAATTCCAGTAAAAGACGCCAAAACAGCATAATTTCAATGGGTGTGAATGCCGGGGGTGAAGTACGTTGGTGCTTGTAGACGCGTGCATGTTCATCCGTTTCAGCTTGATTTTCATCACTTTGAGCCGGCTTCCTTGTAACGCGAGCGTAGTACAAGCACTCGTCCAAGTGCTTCTCCCAACTTTCCTTTCGCCCACGGATGTGGGTAGGAAAAGGAATGGTTGTTTTAGCACTTACATGGGCGGCGTAACAATACTTGCACACAGTCCACCACATCGATTTATTGCATTTCTCATTGAGCCGGTAAAAGTTCATGCCAAGAGGACCTGGTGGGCGTCCACGTTTGGACCCGTCATCTTGCAGCCCGGGTAGGAGCTCCATGAGGGTGGAAGTAGATCGGCGGCGGCGGTGTGAATGCGTACGGTGGGGATTCTTTTGTTGTGAATCAAGTTCGGGGCAGTCCTGGTCGGTTGAAGTAGGCTTAGCTCTTTTTTACGTCAACAATGCAAGATCCCTCTGTAAAAATGTTTTAATTTAGCGCATAAAACACTTTTAACGTAAAAATGTAAAAATGTAAATGTAAAAATGCCTAGCGCTTCCACGATTCAGCACTGTTCTGGTCTCATTCAGAAGTCATATCTTCAATTTATCCTAACTCAATTCAATATATGCACATGATCCGATATCATAGTCTATTTTTAGCAAGGCATTGTCAGCTTATGCAATCTCTTTCTTAATTTATATCAGGCGTTCCTTATTCAGGCAGATTTCTGTACTACGCTACGGATGAGGTAAAGTTTGTGGTAAGAAAGGCCAATCAAAATTCATGTCTCCAGATGGGTGCACGATTCACTCCCTTTTTTCCGGAGCCTCCAATGTGCGGAGTCCGGACCGGACCGGACGCACAGCGTGCACATCTTTCCATTGATCATGAATGAATTCATGGCAATGTACTGAGTACATGTACTGTACCATTGTAGCTGGTCGAGAGAAAGCGTTTTACTAGTGCGTGAACATGAGCAGCACCGTAAAATACCTCTGAATCTGCTTAAATCATATACAACGCACCGGTATTATACATGTACGCTCTGGAGGGGCTTTACAGCCTGTTTGCCCTCGGAGCGCTACAATCGTAGCAAATTCAGAATACTGTATGGAGGCAAGGCCCTCAAACGTATGATTGTGGCCGGTAACATCCCGCGATAGGAATCCCCTGTTCTTCAGGGCCAAACCAGACTTACATGTATCTTTACTTGGCACGTGATACTGTAGAGCATGTATTAATACAGTACATGCACTGTAATACATGAACAGTTTCTTCACTGCCATACTCCACTAGACATTGTTAGACCACAACGAAGAAGATAAGGCATTTAACTTTACCCCTGAAACCTAAACCCAAAACGTGAAGGCTAAAGCCGCACGCGGTAACAATGGCCTTTATCGGTCCTAAATTTGCACCCGCGTGCTCTGCACACTGTCTGCAAACCGCAGACGTGCTCGTTGCGCTTGCTTTAGGTACCCAACGCGCTTCGCGCGATGTCAAGTTTGGCCGCACCCTTCGTTGTTGCAGAGTCTATTAATAGCGATGAACTTTCTTGTTAGACTGTTAAAGCCTCTACTGTACTGTTTTGTTGATCCCGTGATTGGTTTTGTGATAAGTGTGGGGCATCTTGTTTCGTTTATGCCACGCATACGGCAGGAGGGAAGCCCCCAGCGGACTTGACAATCCGCAAACACTTTTTAGCCGTCACTCCTTCATTTTCCCGTCAGTTATCACAACGCAATGCGATGTCACTACTTTGTTTTGCTGGCTGTTGCCGCTTTCTTGGCAGGTGCAAATGTTGCTGTGGCGACGACGGACGCCCAGCTGAGTGACGCCCGAGCGGTCCGCGCCTCTTTTAATACCAAGCGCGCGCTGCGGTCCCATACTAAGGCGACTGACCATGGCGAGGAGAGAGCTTACAAGCCCAGTCTCAGTGTCGTCGAGAGCCTCAACAACTGGATGCAAAGAGCATCGAAGAATATCTTGCCTGACGACGTTATTTTGGTCATGGCCAGTAAGGCGATGACAAAGAAGACCTCATCTTCGGACGCTGTCTTCGCGATGCTCCAGCTTGACCAGGGACTAAAGGGAATCCTGAGCAATCCCAACTTGAAACAATTTGCCTACTATCTCGTATTGACGGAGAAAGCGCCAAGCCAGGCTCTGATCACCAAGTTGATCAGTCAATACGGAGACGACGTAGTGGCGAAATATCTCTTCGACATCAAGCACAAAGCGATCAACGTGAGCGAGAAACTCAAGGCCGAAGCGAGGTTTTGGCAAGGCGCGCAGTATGTCAAGTGGTTCGATGAAGGGGTAACGCCAGCTCTGGTCCGTCAAAAATACAACGTCCACCCCGAAACGTGGTACAAGAACCCGTACGAGGGCGTGTACTGGGAATACACTGGCGTGTACGCCAAATTGGCGAGCAAGTCAAATAAACCCCTGCCCGTGGAAGTATAGATCATACTGTGTTGATACTACATAGCAGTGTGAGATGACAACGTACCACCTACATGAAATTCTAAATTATCCGAAAGCTCACGGTCCGCATTCCTGAGCTCGGAAAACGCTTTTTGCAAACGCTTTTGTTCGCGCCAGGCTGCATAATTACTATAATAGTAGCACTATTATAATACCCACAAAAAGTTGCGGCAGCGCGCGGAGTTCGACTAATATGCTGTTTAGTACTACGTAGTAGTAGTACTACAGTAAAAGAACAAACGAACAAACGAATAGAAGGTCCAAATCTGTCCAAAATAAATATAAATATCCGAGACTACAGATTAGCCTCCCTTAGCTAATACAGCCTGTGGCACAACTTTTGATCAAGTATAGCGAGTGTAAAGACGGTTGGTGTAATGCACATTCCCGAATTTGGTAACAACTATTTTAATTCGAAATACCACTCTGGCCCACTTAAGAATCACTTAAGAATCGACACTTCGATTCTTTTTTTGAATATAGGATGCATAATACTCGTATATGCAGCGGGTACGCCTGTGTGCAATGGACACACTTGTATACATTGTACACGCCACATATCACGATTGTCCGAGGCCCAATTGAAGTTGGCGACCAATCACAATTTAGGATACCAAATGATCTGCTAATCAGGTCGCTCTATTCCTGTCACTTCAGCTGTAGCACGCATTCGGCACGCACACGCCGCGTGCCAAGCGGTACGTATCCAGACAAGTAGATAGCGAAGTGCAGCCACAGCATCCCCACTCAATTCGGTGTCTCAAGCTTGATTACGATGCTACTGCGCTCCAACAAGCAGCTCAGCGTTTTGGTCGATAAGCCCTTCGTGAGATATTCAGCGAGCTGATTCTTGGTGCCCATGCTCTCCAACTCAACTTCACCACTCGCAACCTTCTCGCAAATAATATGGTAACGAATTCCGATGTGCTTAATGCGAGCTTGATATCCAGTGTTCTTTGCCAGTGCCATCGCACCTTGGTTGTTCTTGTAGATAACTGTTCCTCCGTCTTGTTCCGAACCAATGTCGTTGAGCAAAAGTCGTATCCATACGACCTACTTCATGCAGTCACTGAGCTCCAAATTACTCGGCCTCTGAAAGCTGGATCACCACACTACTGGAGCACCACACATCATGAGCATTATGCCGTTCACGTAGCGTCTGTCGTCGCGGTTGTTGGCACAATTTGCATCGGAGGATGCAGGGAGCTCCGCTCCTGGGTGGCCGTCGTACGTGATGCCAACGTCCTTGGTCTTCAACAGGAAACGCACCACCCTGATGCCAGCATTTCAGTGCTTCTGCCCCAGATTTTTAAAGAAGCGGCTCAACTAAGCAGCGGCAATCGAGATGTCGCCTGATACATGAGCGTGGGGCCGAATATAAAGTGTAGGTAATATGAATTGGGTCAGTGCTAACCACCCGCCCTCCCGTTCAATACTGACAGAGGATGCACTATTCATTGCACAGGCTGTCCGTCTTGATTTTGATTTCCCCATTGAGACATCAGCATTATACTCAACAATTGTCCTTGTGGACGAGATCGTCTGAACTAGGATCTTTCTCATTAACGACAGCTACAAAATCCATCCGGAATTCTCCACCCCAAACTGGCTAATAGTTGGATAGCGTCGCTCTGAAAGAGTCCAAGTAGAAAGTCTGGCGTATTATCAGATACCACTCTGGCCCACTTAAGAATCGACAGTTCAATTTAACCTCATTTTAATGTTGGTCTTTTAATGGGACAAGTCACTGATATTTATCATATGATTGGCTGAAAGTAATTGGTTTTCCATGTGGCCGCGAAATCAGTCCTAAGCCCATGTTTACCCCAAAGTATGCTAGAGACATATGATGTATGTGAACGTGTATGAAAATATCTTTGGAATACATGGATACCATTTTTGGTTAAAGTTGTTAAATATTAAAGATGCTGCGATGAAAACCTAATGCAACACCAAATCGTCGACGCAAATTGAACCTTTGCTTTCACAACTTCAGCTGATATTGATAGCCAATTATATCACGCAAAAAAGAATAATCTCAGGATTATTTTAAGGTATGGCAGGTCCCAAACGGTGTGTCCGCTGCATATTAATGTGCCTTGCGTAAACTATTCTGTATACGCGGGCTTCCCGTGATAGGAGGTACTAGGGGCTGCATGTAGGATAGAGGAAGTAGTGTTAGGACCGCTAACGCAATTGAATTCACTTTCAAATTTTCATTCATCGACTCGCATCGACTACAAGCCTCGTTCGCATCTTCCTCTACTCTCTATTAATACTACCAGTAGGGGAGTTAGCCTCAAGTCTAAAAACGCTGCTAGAAACGCATGTAGAAAACCTACTTTGGTTAAGCCAACACAACCGTAAGATCAATCTCTATCTTATATCACGATGGAGTGTCGCAACTTCTGAGTTATGTGTTGCTGGGGCCTAAGCTACGCTGCTCGGATTTTAATGTTGCGAGATGACGATGACAGGGGCCTTACAAAAATTGGCGCCTTTGTATAACATTTCGATAACACAGTTCTTCGAGCTGCGAATTTACACTTTCACAGTATCAGTTTATTTCTTCCAATTCCTGACCAAGTCGGTATCCAGGGGTCGCCCTTTGTAGGCGTTACATTCAGCTGAGTCGGTTTATTTGTTCTCGATACAATCCCCGTCGGGCTTCTTTGTGATGGCCGAGCTCTCGCAATGCGCAAAATCGACGTTGCCGTACGTGATGCCGTCCGGACCGCATACCGGCGTGAAGTCACGCTCGCCGTTGTCGTCACATTTTGCGGTGTTTTGCTTTAACACCCTCACGCGCCGTGTTGCCTCGGCACGAGCCCATGCGCCGAGCGTCACCAGCGATGCTGTCACCAGGAATGCTGCAAGCTTCATTTTGTTTCCGACACTGTCTTTTCACAAATCGTAACCTCGGATATAGATATTTGATGCTACAAAGTCGTGCGGTGTACGAAGAAGATCTGACATCTGAGAAACAGCAGGCTTTGTTTAAATTAAAACAGACACTATCCTGGTACTGAAGTTAAATGCAATACAAATATATTTCTATTGCGAGAGATGGTTTTGTCAATGCGCCACTGGCAGAGCAGACAACATTGGTGACTTGCTTGGGCTGACAAATATTTATACCAATGTACTTCGTATACTCCGTTTTGTATGTCCTTGGCGCTTTGATGCATCTCCTGCGCCTGCTTTGCAGCCGCAGCGTCTGCTCACTGATACTTCTAATTCATTATAAAGCATACCCCTCATACCTGTCTACAGTAGTTAAGGAAGATAAGGGGGACTATGCATTACGCGGCGCTGTGCCGTGCGAGATTGTCGGGGGATTATTATCACCACTGACCGCAAAATCATCAACATTGTCACGACTGACCGTAAAAATAGCACATGGCGCAAACTTAAAGGTTGATTGGCTAGTGAACTTGAAGATGATATCTTTGAATACATTAAATTTGTATTTGTAGTGTTGAAATTCAGTAAGAAGACGAGACGCAGTCTGGATTGATCACTTCACGTGCTACAACCAATGGATCCTCTTTGTGGGCTCCAACGTGTCTTACAAGACAATTGGGTACCCGCTCTTGGATATGATGGCACTCACACAAAAACCCTTCAATACTGTGGGGTTTGTGTACTTCTCGTTGGCAAGGACAAACAGGACAAACATCCCCGTCGCGATAGCATACACAAAGAGACGGCAGAAAACTTCAAGCGTTTGTTCTGCCAATTGCCTGGCTGTGGGTATTAAGATGGATGATCATGCACTGTTCAGAGACAGAGGAAAACAGTGTGAAGCGCAATTGCGTATTAAGAAGCGCGGGATCACAATTCACTTGAGATTTTGCGCGCTGCATATTTTATATCAATGCTTATGGTCATGTTCGTACTCCTGACTCGAATATCGACAACGTATGGGCGTTGCTGTATTGTCTATAATCTATCACGACTTTGGTGAAGTATGAATCCGTTCTAACAGAGATTGAAGTGACATTCCCTGTGTCTCGTAGGGTGAAGGTTAAAGGTAAAATGGAGATCCAGACGGTGAAGCAATACTTTCGCAAAATTCATCCAGCCAGCTGGACCAAGATTGGGAATGGATCCTTAACACCACAGGAAATCGCTTCGCTTGGGTACTGGCTGGAATGCTACAGAGGCATATGGTGATGGACACGCACTCTTTGCTGGTAAAACAACAAGTGCTATTGAGGGCCAGAACCATGTTCACTTACTAGCTGGTATACGCGACAGTCAAGTGTTGGGGGCTCTCATACTCTTCTGTAACGTGATTGTGGAGACGTTGGTGGATAAGAAAACCAAAGCAGAAAACTGGCTGAGAAACAAACACACTGTTACTCCACAATCCAAGGAAATGTTTGACAGACAGGTTTGGAATGCTATCGTGTGTAGCTGCGTAAGAGTACAGACTCCGTCTTCTTCGTCGGCGACTATGACACCACAATAGAAGAAGAAGATGCTGAAGGTACAAGCAGGAGTGCGCCTCTAAGCACGAGGTGATCCAAAGTGCCACGTCACCTACACCGTTGACTTGAATACGAACACGTGCACCCGCTGTGCGGATAGGGAGCACTTGCAACTTCCTTGTCGTCATATCATAGCTGCGGCATATCGACAAAGCGGATCTCCCACAACTAATGCGGGAGCGCACATGTTATTCTACAGAGCGTTCACAGCTCAGGCATACGCTCAAGCATTTCTGAGATCCTCTACAAGCTTGCAATTTGTGTCGGCACTTCTTCCTCACCTTAACATCCTGCCAACTCCCATCTATAACCAAACTGGAGGTACACAAAACCGAGATCGCCGATATGTTGCTCGCAGGAGAAGCGAATACCATCCCGTAGAGACCCGAAACTAGCCACGTCGTCGAGAGAAAGGTCGCACAAGATAACGTCACCTCAAACAGATAAAAACAAACGCGCAACCAGCATGCGCGAATTCTTCAACAGTGAAATTAGAGCCAAAGAAGCGCGTAAAATACACATGCAGTCAATGAGGCAAAGCGGGAGGTCACAATGCAGCGAAGTGTCCACATTGAAAGACGGAAAACGTGGAAGCCAATGTGCAAGTAGGAAATTATGTCGTCGGTACTTTCCCTCTTGAATTGGTGGAAAGAAGAAACTCGTTTGTGGCAGCTGAGCGTGAATCTCCGACTATCGTTTGCGAATACAGCTTTTGATTAATCGGCTGGGAGTCCATGGGCTGCGGGCTCTCCATAAAGAGCGTATGCATTACGAGGTTTAAATATATAGCTCGTATGACAGGTCGATAAGAAGTAGAGAGAAGAAGAAGACGCTACTTGTAGGCGTCACGAAGTGAGCACTTTATTAGTCTTAGGAAGCCACTAGTAGCTGCACACCAACCATTAGTGTTAGAATAGTTTAAGCCAGTCATAACGGCTTAACCCTTCTAGAACGGTATTCTGTATCCTACAGAATAAGCGTTTTCGCAGTATTTAATATCCAGAAATGTTGGCTGCGCTGTCGAATCTCGCATCGATTATTTTGTATGTGTGCTGATCAGTCGACCGCTCCTAATAGATCTGCGCTGGGTAGGTAGCCGGGGATTAGCGTGTTGGCATAGAAAGACGAGTATAAGATTTAAAAATTGAGGTGACAGCCCACACAAACGCGTGTCAGCCACTCCCTCTTTCCCCCATTCAGAAAGATGAACGGTTCTGGAGAGAAGTCGTTCACGCAGCTGTGGCGTGACCTGTGCAAGGAAGGATGGAAGGCTCGTAAGCCTACCGGTATCGCTAAGGACCACCGCTACGTAAAGCCAGGAATCAAGGGCCGCCTCGATGAATCGCGACGCTGATTAGACTTCTTTGAAGGTGGGAGGATGTGATTGTAGCTAATAATTTTCGTTGTACTAATATCTGCTTTGAACCAGGTGAGAAGGATCTTATGGCGTTTGCTCGTCTCTCAGGCCTCCTGGATCACCAACCTTCCAGCGCATCAGTGGGCTCTGTCGTCCGACGACCCATTGGCAAGCAAGCAGCTTACGCAGCCATCGGTGTTGACCCCCATGCGTTCCATCCCCCACGACAAACCAGGCTTCAGTGGCGCCGGCCACAACTGCGAGTAGAGAATTGGTCGCGACTGTTTCTTTGCCGGCTTCCCTCGGTTCAGCACCTGATGATACGCATACGGCGGCGGTTATCTCGAAAGTAGTTGAATCTCAAGCGACAGAACCAGCCGGTATGACAGATGCTACAGAACAAGGTGATGGAGCAGATGATGTTGTTCAGGATGATACAGAATTGCATCCCATGGAGAGCGCGACAGATGAAGAAGAAGGCAGAAATGAGAGCGACGATCTGAACGAGACTGAAAACTTTGTTGATTTGGACGTGTTCGACAGCGATAACTTCATGGAGGGTCTCCGAAAGGAGCCCCTGTTTGGCCCGACAGCTGATGACGATGTGAACTTGGTGGATAGCGCTGACTTCTGCGATTCCGATTCAGATGCAGATGATGATGGGATATTGGAAGACAATAAGGTGATTACGTCCTCTCTAGAAGGTGCCAACGATGTTGAAGATGTCCCAATGACTGAAGACGTCTCTGGAGCTGCGGTTTTGGGGTTTACGGAAGATGCCTTACGTGATATCGCTGGAAATGGATGGGTGACGTATGACGAAGAGCACAGCGGTAAGCCCGGATAGCACATAATAACTTAAACCGCATATAAATTAAATATGTATATGACATATTTGCAACAATGTAGAGGATTTTCAAGTTGATGCAGCTGCGGACTATTATGACGGGGAATTTGGGCCTACGGGTTCTGCAGTTGCGTACGCAGATTCTCCATTGGGGATGTTCTTTTACTTCTTGCCAAAGGAACTATGGAGTCATATCGCCAAAGAGACGAACAGATACAGAACCCAGAATATCACCGTCATTGCCACGTCACGTAGGAACAAGCTGCTGGGCTCGGCAGGCCAAGGACCCTCGCATCAGTGTACCTGATTTGGCGGATATTGGAGAAGGGCTGAAGAAGTTCAAGGATATACAGCCCCATGAGATCGTACACGTCGTAGCATTACTCTTTGCTCGCGCAATAGCACGGATTCGAGATGGACTTGCCAAACATTTGGTCTACCGATGAAGATGGTGCAGTTCCACGAGGAACGTTCTCGCGCGATCCATGAAGCGTGATCGCTTCATAGCGATCTTGAAGTTTCTTCATTTCAACAACAATGAACAAGGTGGAGTGCTTGTGGATACGGCCTGGAAAGCTCGACCGCTACTGCAAGCTGTTGAGAAAACGTTTCGCCGTGGATATCTCCTCGGAAAAGTAATATCTTTTGACGAAGGTATGATGGCTAATCGAAGCAAATACAACCCAATGCGCGTCTTCATGCCAGACAAGCCCTGCAAGTATGGCACCAAATTCTACATGACGTGTTGTGCTGACACCGCGTACTGCTCAAGGTAAGACAAGCTATTCTAAATATTACCGAACATCCTATTCTGGGGGATACAGATTAACATGGTGTGTACTTATGGTATTCGTATGGGTATAACTTAGAGTACAAATCTACTGTGGAGCTGACAAATCGAAGCAGAAAAAGAGAAAAGCACCAACAGACACACTGGGACTTGGCCCAAAAGCTGTCGTAAGAAATATCTCGAAGGTGTTGATGGACCAGCCGAAGAAGCGACTGATTGTTACCGACAGTTTTTACTCGACCGTATCGCTCAGTCTGAAGCTGCTGGACATGGACTTGTACCACGTCAAACTACACGGACCGACAGGTTAGGTTGGTGCCCAGTTCACTTCACGCAAAAGAAAAGACCACAGCGCATGCCACGTGGAACCTACCGTATTGCCCAAGCGCGAGACCA